GGAATAAACGTCTCACAAATGTAAAGTATCGCTTCGAATGTAATATACGCATATCGAAAAGCAAGAAAGTATCGTATAAGTGTTGTACACGTAACAATCGTATCGTGGCAGACAGAGAAAATGTGACAAACTTGTTCTTGGGTGACGATTTTCCTTTACGATCGATCGAATTGTAATTGAATTATTGGGAATTGTTAGAGATTGTTAATGGAACTCTGTCTAATTTCAAGTAGAAAATCAGCGAGAAAATCATAAACAATTCTAGAAAATTAATTACGAAAGAAACAGATTGTAGATTATTAATTGTACGTGGGGGATTATGGTTCGTTGATCAGAAAAATCGTTCGAGCAAATAACTCTTCCTTAACGTTCCCTCGAGCTTATCAACGATTTTTCAACGTTAAAATTAATTGCTAGTCGTTGCTCGTTCCCTTCATCAAGTCGATCAATCGTAGGTATAATTTCCTCTGCCGTGACATTCAATCGCATCTTACTTCGTTTTCTTGCGAAATGCAAAATATGGCCGTCTCGGACGAGAAAAAACGTAGCGTATCTACTAATCGTAGCCATAACGTTGCGCATCGAAGAGCCATAGATCCTCTTCCCGTGCCTTGTTATCTTCCCTCTCCCCCTTCCATAAAAATCGTTATCGACTAGAACGTAGTTATGATACATTAAAAATTGACACACATTTATGTTATATGTATATTGGACTTCGCTTTATCGCCTCCCCCTTTCATTTCCCCCTCCCCCTTTTTTTCCCCCTTGCAGAAAATGCACGACACACACAATCGAATCGTTTCTCCTTTCTTTTTTTCTTTTTTTCTCTTTTTTCTTTTTTTCTCGGGGACGGTCATCGATCCTAAAGAGAGAAAAAATTTGCGGATATTTTACTAATAATTTCCATAGGCGTCAAGTGAGGACAGAGTAAAACCGGCGCTCCCGAGGGAACCGCCGGTGAATTTGCTTATTACAGACGACAAATCGTTTAATAGTTTGCACTTGGTATACTACCATAGCTTTCGACTTAGAGTTATACTTGAGACACATAAGAAATTTGCTTGCGTATTGTAGTTTTCGTTGGAAAGTCCTGCACTCCTGTGCTCAATGCACACGCTTGTACGATTCCTTAGCTATTTTTTTTTTTTTTTT